CCTTCATTATCTAGCAATGATGACGTCATTTCCGCTTTGAATGACTGAAGATAATTCCTTCTTGACCGGCATCCGTGCAAGCATTGCTGGCAAAAGTGTGTAGAGAAATAATAAAGACCATGCCGGTCTTTCATAGCAAGGCTTAGTGCCAGTAATTTTTTTAAATAAAAGCTCATAAAAATCGAATCTCAAGTAAACCAATAATATTAAACAAAGCAGATATACTTCTTTGAAAATATAACGAAACGTTTATAATTTCATCGTCGTACCGGAATTCCGACCATTTGCGATCTTACGGCGACTAAAAATGTACTTTGTGCAACCATATCGCGTTCCCAAGGTGCGTTCCTAATCTATGAGATCTATCTACGGCGCACTTCAGTTGTATTGCGTTAATTGAGATGCTACGACGCTTATCTAAAGACATTCTCAATTTCGTGGCGATCTTTGGCGACCATAGAACCCATCGCTTATACAACTCTTATGGCGACCTAAACAAGCTCTGATCTAATTTAATTCGTAATTTTGAGTTATGACGACTTTCTGGCGAGACGGAGCAATAAGGCCCCAGTTCACATTTAACAGAAATGCAAATACTAATAGCTAATTTTTCCCTGCCACATGTGTTATGACATATGGAAACTTCGAGCAGGACAAGGCGAGACCTGTTTTAGAAACGCGGGATGCAGGGCGGTGTTCATAGCATGAATAAGTGTACTGTACTAATCGCATATCAAATCGAGGAAGATTAAGAACTATGAATTATAGTGCGATGAAAAAGTTCATCTGCCTCTCTCCCAGGCTGTAGTGTACTTTCGTTTTATTAAATTTAATTTATTGTCTTTCAATGACCATCTCGAACCTTGTAAATCTTAAAAGTCGTGAGTTTTTACGAAACCTGGTTCTGTATAAATTCGCCGACCATGGACACCATCGACACAACCTGTTTAAAAGTTGCCACATCTAAAGATGAAGATCTTAATCTGTCTGGTCGTTCTTGTTGGTGAGTATCAGAATTTGTCGATCTGACATGAGTTACTGTCCATGTGTTAAGGGATTAAATTGAACTAACAGTTTTTGTAACCACGGCATCCAAAAAGATTCTCTCGTGTTGCTTAATCATTAATTTTAAAGTTGTACACAAATAGGGAACTAACTTTCAAGTTTCTTTCGATCTATTTTCAGCTGCTACCAGTGCCCAACTGGAAAGAATTGTAGGCGGATCTAATGCATCTCCAGGTCAATTCCCTCATCAGCTGTCTCTTCAGTATCAATCTGGTAGTTCCTGGGCTCATACCTGTGGTGCTGTTCTTATTGGACCCAGAAAATTCTTAACCGCTGCTCATTGTGTTTCAAGCAGGTAAATTGTTACTTTGTTTATTGAACTGAAGATTTTGATATAAAAAACCAGGTTAGTGTGTATCTTAACAAAACTCAATACTGAATCCATATTCATATCATATTTTCATTGAACAAGTTATATAGAGTTATCGCTAACAATTCATTTTCAGTGAGTGTTTCATAACCAATGGGTGGTGAATCCATATTTTTGTCAAATTTCCCTATAAAATGTTACATAAAATGTTGGTTCTCAACAATTATAAATCAAATTTTACGTAAATATTAACATAAACTTTGGTGATTAATTGTTTCAGTCGAACTTATCGAGTCATGGCCGGGTCTACCCAATTGAACAGTGGTGGAACATACTACACCGTCAGTAGAATTACTAACGTAAGTTTTTAAAACAGAATGTCACTCCCATTATCCATATGGATAAGTTAATAAATAGCAGCACTGCATATTTCTCAGGGTGTGTAAATAAAAAATAATAATAAGTAATTAAAATAATAATATGTTTCTGACAAGTTTACTAAAACGAACCAACATGACTAGTATAGTACATTTTAAATTTCAGCATCCAAACTACAATGGTAACGCTAATGGTTTCCCTAATGATATTGCCGTTGGTATTCTAACTAGTGATGTAAATGTTGGTGGAACCATTGGTTTGGCTTCTGCAGGTAGCAGTTTTGCTGGCAGTAAATGTACCATCAGTGGTTGGGGCAGAACTTCAGGAACATCTTCCATTCCTAATGATTTGAAATATGTTGAAATGAACAAGATCACCAACAGTGAATGTACTAGCAGATGGGGCAGTAGCTACATCTTTAACTTCCATATCTGTGTCTACGAGTCTGGTAAATCAGCTTGTAATGTAAGTAGGATTGACAACATTTCAAGGATGGGGAGGGGGGGCGCCTCAGATCTCCGTGGCAAGCTTCCGCTTCCGCTTCAGACCCCACAGGTTTTCGTCTATACGTTTCAACATTAGGAATGTCAATCCCGACATACGCTCTCCCATATGCCCTGATGGTAAATCAGCTTGCAATGTTAGTAGAATTCAAAACACATAATCGATTAAAGTCCCAACTGTTCCTTCAAAATGAAGACTCGCCTGTTTTGAATAATACTGATCTTTTTAAAATAATTTTGTCTGCAATGGAATGTAAGGAATGACTATATAAGACAATAGTGTATAATCACGTCTTTGAAAATGCGCTTATAACGTAATCGTTGTATTGACATTTTCACTTGACACCTTCTCCGTGAAGTAAAAGCTAAATAAATGTAGAGCTCTAGCCGAATATACACAGTAAATACATCGCCCTGTCCGACTAAAATGTGTCGAAATGCGAATGCGATGTTACCTTAATTATTGTATTGACATTTTCACTCTACACCTTTTCATTGATATTTTGTTGTTTGTAATTACAGGGTGACAGTGGCGGACCAATGATCTGTAACAGTGGAAGTCAAACTGTTCTAGCTGGTATCACTTCATGGGGAGCTACAGGTTGTCCTGGAACCAGACCCAGTGTCTATACCAGAGTTTCAGAATATCTCAACTGGATTAATAGTATTAACTAAAATCAATTATAGAAAATTTTTAAATGTGATTTAAAATAAATGTTATAGCCAATAGTTGTGGTTTACATACTTTTGTCAGCGGTACTTCAAGGTCTAAATGCAGGACAAGAAATCATTTTCTGCGGCCACCTTGAAATGACGTCATCATAACTGGAAAAAATGGGGGGGGGGTGCAAACTGCAAAATAATGGTCATTAATCCGATTGTCAAGGGATGCCAGGACACTGACACGCTGTCAGGAGCTTTGGCACCCATCATAGTTGCGAAAAGACGATCTATTGATATTAATAACTTCAGTCTTAAATACATAGTGTGTTTATATAACACGATAGAAATATGGAATTGCTTTGAATGAGTTGAATACACGAAGTCTGTTATGCTTCATAATTCGCAACATTTAACAGATATTTTATTTTATCTCAAACTACCATGCAAAGTTGTTATATTTAAACCGATAGTTTTGGGCAATTGAGAGACTAATAAACATATTTAGCTCAGTGGACTCTCCGAATCGGTTGTCGAGTTGACAAACCTAGTCGCACTGACAAAAATGTCCCGGGTGCGGGAATCACAACGCACACGTACAAATAGAATGGACGAATCTGCCAAACCATCCAATTGTTCCAGGACCTAATTTCAACTGTCAGATCTAACTACAATTCATCCAATTGTTTCAGGAACTACTACCAACTGTTAGATTTAGTTACAGATCGTCCCATTCTTCCATGAACTTATCATATCTAACAATAAATGATCCAATTGTTTCGGGAACTATTACCAACTATCAGATTGGGCTGGGAGCGGAATCGTCATCACATGTATTTTTCAATGGAATACTAGTATGAAAATAAATCAGAGAGTAGATTCACCAAGGCCCATGCTACTTTCCTGCCCCGACCACAATCCATCCTTTATTTTGCTCACATATATTGATTAATAAGAAAGCAATGTACTTATAAAGGATAAATTAGAATGATGGGTATTCAAAATGACTTTCTTGGTATTATTTAAATGAATATATATATCCCTAATTCGTAGGGATCTACGGTAAGTGATTTGTAATATGCGGAGGCATGGTAGAAAGTTTGCATGGTTCACTTATTCAATTTACAAACTTCGTGCGCATGTTCATTTTTACAAAACAAGTAAAAGCCTAGTTGTGAAAGACCAGCATGGTCTTCTTTTATTTCTCTACAAACTTTTTCCAGCGATGTCGGTCAAGAAGTAATTATCTTCAATCATTCTAAAGATCATTCACAACGGAAATGACGTAATCATTGCTAGGATAATGACGACCGACTTTTTTTATTTTCGGAAACAGATCTCATAATAAAAATCTATACAAGCAAGACAATTTCGGCAAAAGTTGTAAAGAGAAGCATCATCAGGTGTTTCGGAAAGAGTAAACATGGTCTGCTTCGCGCAACAGTCTACTATAAAGGTCAATTATATGGTTAAAAATTGGGACCAAAGATCATCGGCATAAACTATCACGAGGCATCAGGAATCTGACATGTAGCTGATCGGCTTTTCAAGATCTTTGGTACTCATGTTGCAGAAACGTCTGTCATTCCCAACTCTACATCAACGATCAATATATGTATATGTAGGTATATCATGCACCCGGGTAATTTTGCCGGAATGGTTGCTGTGAAAGGCCTCCCTGGACGCGAATCATCGTCAATGCTCTCTCTTTCATGTTTTAATTCCACAGTCATCGGGACATCATTCCCGATACTGGTGACCATGTCAGTGTGTATCTGTGCTTGATTTAGCTCTTCATTTGCAGAATTTGATAACCATTCTATAGACAGGTTTGTTCACTGTAAGACGATGAACATCTCTTTAATTAGTTCATTTGACTTTTAATTTAGTAAAAATTACTTTTGTAAATGTAATACATTGATTTAATGTGGGGTGAACAAGATGGACGTCCGTTTAAAATGACAAGATACATTATATGATTGTGGCAAAAGTTTGTACCCTCGTATTACTGCGATTAGAGACAATGACATGATAGGGAATTTATAGTCTCGAGTCACATCATGTTCATAAGTAAATACATTATAAACGGTTCAGTTATTATCAATAAAATTTATTCAATATCACATAATCATATCATCAGTTGATTTTAGTTAATACTATTAATCCAGTTGAGATATTCTGAAACTCTGGTATAGACACTGGGTCTAGTTCCAGGACAACCTGAAGCTCCCCATGAAGTGATACCAGCTAGAACAGTTTGACTTTCACTGCTACAGATCATTGGTCCACCACTGTCACCCTGTAATTAATTCCATGTGAGAATGCAAAAACAAGAACTATGGTAAAATGCATTAAACAGAATGCGGTAACAATTTTCTAAGATAAAAGTCATGTTCGATTGCAGATTTTCGACACTTGTGGCGTCGTCAGCCTCCATGATCTGGTGATACATAATATATATAATATTCTAAGCACAACTGTTGGAATTGAGATTCCAAAAGCGGAATCCTGCCACTTAGATATGAGGAGCCCCCCCACCCTCCTTGAAATTTTGTCAATCCTGCTTACATTGCAAGCTGATTTACCAGACTCGTAGACACAGATATGGAAGTTAAAGATGTAGCTACTGCCCCATCTGCTAGTACATTCACTGTTGGTGATCTTGTTCATTTCAACATATTTCAAATCATTAGGAATGGAAGATGTTCCTGAAGTTCTGCCCCAACCACTGATGATACATTTACTGCCAGCAAAACTGCTACCTGCAGAAGCCAAACCAATGGTTCCACCAACATTTACATCACTAGTTAGAATACCAACGGCAATATCATTAGGGAAACCATTAGCGTTACCATTGTAGTTTGGATGCTGAAATTTAAAATGTACTATACTAGTCATGTTGGTTCGTTTTAGTGAACTTGTCAGAAACATATTATTATTTTACTTACTTACTTATTATTATTTATACGCCCTGAGAAATATGCAGTGCTGGTAACCACATTCGTATCAATGTTTGTGCCGAAGGTGCTACTATGTCGTGTCGACATAAGAATCAAAATTGAGCGATGTGCTAATACGAATTGTCTATTAAGTTATCCATATGGATAATGGGAGTGGCATTCTGGTTTAAAAACTTACGTTAGTAATTCTACTGACGGTGTAGTATGTTCCACCACTGTTCAATTGGGTAGACCCGGCCATGACTCGATAAGTTCGGCTGAAATAATTAATCACCAAAATTTACTATTATCTTAAAATTTTATTTATATTTGTTGAGAACTAAAATTGTATTTAGCTTTATGACAAAAATAAGGATTCACCACCCATGGGTTATGAAACACACAACACACAAACTGTATACAACTTGCTCAATGAAAATATGATACGAATATGGATTCAGTATTGAGTTTTATTAAGATACACACAGCCCTGTTTTTTTTGTTATATCAAAAGCTTCATCTCTATAAACAAAGTAACAATTTACCTGCTTGAAACACAATGAGCAGCGGTTAAGAATTTTCTGGGTCCAATAAGAACAGCACCACAAGTATGAGCCCAGGAACTACCAGATTGATACTGAAGAGACAGCTGATGGGGGAATTGACCTGGAGATGCATTAGTTCCTCCAACAATTCTTTCCAGCTGGGCACTGGTAGCAGCTGAAATTAGATCGAAAGAAGTTAGAAAGTCCGTTTCTAATTTGTTTGTACCAGACTTTAAAATTCATGGTTAAGCGACTCGAAAGAATCTTGTCTGTCTGATGAAGTAGAAGTTCACCTATTCTGTTTCCTTTGTTAGTTCAATTCAATCCCTTAACACAAGGGAAGTAATTCATGTCAGATCGACAAATTCTGATACTCACCAATAAGAACGACAAGACAGATTAAGATCTTCATCTTTAGATTTGGCAACTGTTAAACAGGTTGTGTCGATGGTGTCCATTGTTGGCGAATTTATACAGAACCAGGTTTCGTCAAAGCTCACGACTTTAAAATTTACGGTGTTCGAGATGATCATTTCAAGGCAATAAATTAATTTGAATAAAATGAAAGTACAATACAGCCTGGGAGAGACACAGATGGACTTTTTCAACGTACCATAATTCGTAGTTTTAATCTATTTCGGTTTGACAAGTGTTATTACAGTATAGTAGAACGACATTATCTTCCCACGGGCTGCCCTGCGTTCTTTCTTGTCCCCATGATAGCCTATGATACGACACAAACCGTCCAAACAAACAACAAAAAAACGTCTCGAAGCTGAATGTAGGGATGTATTTGCTTTTTTGCCTTTTTGTTATATTTGAACTGGCTTAATAGCTAACTTTAGATGATTTTGTCATTTTGATTTTGCACTTCCCAATTTCAGTATTCGGCAAGGATCAGGTTCGTATTTTAACGTTGTTTATTCTCTTTTCTATTAAAATATTTTAGAAATGTATTTGGACTATATTCTCACAGCTTAGATTTTAGTGTCTTTCCTTAACTGAAAATGCACTGTAGGCTACAAATAAAAATTCAGATTGCAGTGATTGAGTAAAAGTGTCTGATATATTGTATTATCCATGCACTATACAACTGTGATTTCCAAGACAAATAGTAAAAGATAGCTTACCAGGCAGGTGGGCCAGTGGGCAGCTTTGATTTTGATTAAAAATATTTGGCAGTATACAGTAACCAATATGAAATATTCAACCTTCAGTCATACACTCTTTTTAACATTTTTTGGGTGATACCAAATCAAATTCAAGAATTGTGCCATCTACAGTGTTGACGGGCTAAAAATTTTATTGTTTTTAAGAACAAGGGCAATAACTCATACTAAATATTGATCGATTTTCTGATTTTCAATAGGGTTCATCCTTGGGAGATTACAAACAAATCATACCAAGTTTCTTCAAAATCAGTCAAGAATTGTGCCTTCTAGAGCAATTGTGGGCGGACGGACGAACTGACCGACGGACATAGGTTACGACAATATACGCCCCCATTTCATATTTAAAATGGTTTAAGTCAAAGAAATTATAACATGAACACTAATTTTTTGTGTCAAATAAGCTAAAAGCCAAATCAAAGTAAGAAAATTGTAGTGATGTTAAGAAATCTTCAAAACAACAGAAAATTGTGGACATCTTTATCAAAGTTTTTGTTGAGATTGTGTTTGTGCTTGATAAAACTTATCAATAAATAGGCCAATACAAAAAAGCCTCCTTTATTATCATTGGTAAGTGTTTGAGGTTAACTATTCGATCAATTAGTATACTTCAAAAGAGTTTTTCTTTGATGCACTTTTCGTCTAACATGTAGTAAAGACTGTTGAAACATATCATGACGTGAGCGACGCTAGAGAGTCAACACGTCGTATCAGCAGGTTACTATACAAATGCCTATAGGGCACTTTGTGCTTTAGGGAGGAAAAACCACTGAAAAAATACCGCTGCCGTTGGGAAAATATGTTATACCAAAAAGATTGTATCGACACAAAATAACTAAGTAAAGTGTCTCGTCTATCTTGGGTTATTCATTGGTGAATTATTATGCAAGGCCTTGCCTTCAAGGACAGAGAAACCCCGAAAGATAAAAAAAAGGTTCTACCAAGGTGAACTTATACAACCTGCTTTAGGATTTATGAAGGGACCCTAGTTTATTCCCCATTGTCGTTAGGTCTCCTTTCCAGCACGGATTTATGAAAGTCGTGGAGATGGGAGTAGTCAAAGCTTTGCTTTTCGTTGTTTCCTTGCTAGTTGTTCCGAGTACCGGCTACCGTTATCCATTTCAGGATCCGAGCCTTCCCTGGGACGATCGAGTCGATGACCTAGTGGGTAGATTGACTATCGAGGAGATCCAGGGACAGTTGGCCAAGGGTACTGGAGCTACTCCAGATATATCAAGACTCGATATTGGAGCGTACTCTTGGTGGACGAATTGTGGCCGTGGTGATGTCGGGGCAGGGAATGCGACCTCTTTTCCGGAATCTATTGGCCTGGCCGCTGCTTTCAGGTAAGTTCTTTTCCGATAAATGAGCCATGACTATTGATGGATTCCGTTTCATTGGGAAAGAAAATATACCGAAATTAAAAAAAAATTCATAGAAGTTTTAATGATGGGATTTATTTTTTATTTTTTGTACCTATTGTACCTTAGTCTCAGAAACGGGAATTTTTAGCTGAGCCAATCAGTAATACTGTTCACAGATCACCGTCGAAATTTGAGCCTTATAAGTCTTTCTTTGATCTTTTGATGGAAACTTAGGGATGCGAACCAAAAAATGATAATAATATCGTTTGCATTCATCGAAGTCCTTTGAATACAGATTATAACAAATACATGCCGATTTGCGTTCGGTGAAAAAATACCAGTATCTGTATTGAAGACTATGTTTTATTTCAGCCCTGATTTGATGTATGCCGTGGCAAGGGTTTCTGCCCTGGAAGCTAGAGCTAAAAATAATTATTTCCTAAAACATGGCCAATATGGTGTTCATAAGGGATTGAGTTGTTTTAGTCCTAATCTAGATATTTACAGAGATGCTCGATGGGGGAGAAATGAGGTCAGTTGTTGTTTGATGTTTTATCTGACAGTCTTGAAGAAGATAAATTGAACACAGTATAAAACATCAACGTATCACATAGCTGAAAAAGCTAGAATTATCATACCTCGCATCTCCCTTATCAGACAATATAATTATAACGTCGATTGTCATCAAAAATATTGAAATAGCCCACAGTTCAGTATTTAATACCAATCTGATTAAAATGCAGAACTGAATTTTTCGTTTTTTTTCTGAGGGTCACTGCAATTGTTTTTAAAAATTGTTCAGCCGACGTTCTCGTTTTGATACGGTTTGACCACATTCCGACGAAACGTATAACGGTTCGTTAAAATTAATCATAACTTTCTGTTTACAGGGAACATGGGGTGAAGATCCATTTCTCGCTGACGTTTATGCTCGTGTATTTGTTAAGGCAATACAGGGAGATAATCCAAGGTATGCTTTAATGACAGCAACCTGCAAACATTATACTGCTTCCGGGGGTCCAGACAGCTATCCTGTGTCCAGAATGAAATTTGATGCCAAGGTAAGTGGTCGATAACATTACAAATATTTGATTTATTTCTTTTTGAACAAAAACCATGTTTTACTTATTTCATTAATAAAATAATAAACCTCAAAAAGACCAAATTCAGTATAGTCCACACGTCCATTTGAGATGTCATCTTCAAAATATATTACAGGTTTCAATGCGAGATTTACAGATGACATTTTTACCAGGGTTTAAGGGGTGTATTGATGCTGGTAGTTACGGACTACTCTGTGCTTATAATAGGTAGATATAAACATATTTTATTCTTGTCCATCAAATATCATATTATTTGCCTGGATATGTCGTGGAAACTGGCGAAAGGTATAAATTAAATCGTCTTTTCTCTCCTTATTCAGCGGCGGAGGGGTGTCATTTGTCGCCCAAGAAAAATAGTTTGTACTCCCAATTATACCCCTAATTCATTTCTGTATACTTCCAAAATACCTTTCGACTTTTGTTCTTGTCTAATTCAATTTCAGTATAAACGGGGTGCCAGCCTGTGCTGATAAAACTACCCTAGTAGATGTTTTACGGTCTGACTGGGGATTTAAAGGATATGTTATAAGTGATGCTGGAGCTATTGAAGGGATGAAGACTGGTCATAATTATTATAATAACTCAGTAGATATTGTAGCGGGCAGTTTGAATGCCGGGTGTAATATCAATGCCGCTGGTGGAAAAACCAAAGATAAGGATAATGCTTATTTTTCTATGGGTAAGTTGGTCTATTGCGTCCAACATCATCCCTTGTGATAAATACCAATATTTAGGCTCTGAAAATGAATAACCTACACCTGTATAAAAAGCAACTGATTATTCGGACAACAGTACAACTGAACAAGTGATCGCAAATCGGACTTATAAAAACAACAGATATTCAAGTAAATCCATCATTATGCTTTCTGTCAGAAAATAATTTACAATTCTCCTACATAATTTTCAGCCATAACATTAACCAATAATTTTTCTGTATTTTAAACGGTGATGAGTATCCCAAAATTATAAGTTTCTAAGGACAAGCCATTGAGTAACACATTCCTTTCTAAATGCATCTATTTGGACTGTGGTTCATGTTTCAGTTAAGGCTATTCAAGAAGGCAAACTGACAGAGAAGATGGTTCGAGATTTAATTAAACCAACATGGTTCACGAGATTAAGGCTTGGAGAATTTGATCCACCAGAGATGGTACCATACAAACAGCTAGACCTGTCCATCATCCAAACCCCAGCTCATCGCATGTTATCTGTTGAGGCAGCCATGAAATCTTTTGTCTTGTTGAAAAATCGAGGAGATTTTCTACCAATGAAACAAACCAAATATAATAATGTAGCGGTAAGTATTGACCCAAGTCGTCTTAATACTTAGCAAGATTTACCATACTTGAACTTAGTAACCCGTGTGCATTGGTTGTTACAGTCAGTCCATGTCCTCTGTTTTCTCTTTATAAAGAAAAACATTGTTTAATGATCGTATGAGTATGTGTTCAGGCCCGGCCTCTGCTGCCTGGCGTCTCATCCTGCGCCTTTAAGCGTAGAAGGGTTTTGTTTGACATTTTTTTTCCAGATAATTGGACCAATGATAAACAACCCAGAAGCACAGACCGGAAATTACTCTCCCACCATCATGCCTACCTATACCACCACTCCACTGGAAACTTTATCTAAATATTTAGCTCATTCTGTCACATCAACTAATGGTTGTCTTGGTGATAATAATTGTTTACAATATAACCAGACGGCGGTTATTCAGGCCGTTCAAAAATCTGACGTAATCATCGTCTGCCTTGGTTTAGGTAAATGACAATTTATTCTAAAATGTATCCAAATGGACACTGGCAAATACTATTTTTGTCAGTCCACTCTCTTGTGTACATCCACAATCAGTGCATTTATACACAATATAAACAAATATATATATCAGAGTTAGGTAATGCATAACACAAGGCGTCTCGTAACTAATACTAGGCCTATATTTACACTACCTGAGAGAACGTACTTATCGCTAATGTTCTAAATTTTCATAACGACAGGAAATGACGTAGAAAAAGAAGCTCATGATAGAATGAATATATCGTTTCCCGGTCACCAGTTAGATATTTTGAAGGATGCTGTAGATAATAGTAAGATCAATGTTTTTGACATTCAAGAGATTATCTAAATATTTGTGTTATTCATTCTAAAAAAGAGGATATGCACAAAGCATGCTAAAGTATATTGGGTTTGATCAAGAATAAAATATAGGTGTCTTATCCAGCGTCATCCTCTTTACCACGGAGAGGGTACAATAGGCAAAAGCATGTTCCCTAATCCTATTTTGTAAATAAACATTGTTTATTTTGTGAACAAAAACATCTTTGCCTTTATATCCATCTTCATGTAGAGATCCTTACTGTAACATCGTCATTACCAGGCCCGCAGCCAGACTTGGTTTTCTATTTGCCAATGCTGTATTTTGCGTTTGTCAACTCTGCATTGGTATTTAAACTGTCAACTGGAAGGTCCAAACATCTAATCTTAATTTAGTTTCTCAATTTCCCCCTGTTGGTTTAAGGTCCATCCACGACTCCGATAGTGTTGGTGATGTTCAACGCTGGAGCAGTCGATCTAAGATGGCCGGATGGCGAAAATCGTGTTACGTCTATTCTGGAGGTCTTCTATCCATCACAAGCTGCTGGTGATGCCTTGTATAACGTTTTGACGATGTCTAATGGAAGTTCATCTGTGCCGGCTGGTAGATTACCCATTACATGGCCAGCGAGTGATGATCAGGTAAATCCGCAAGTATCATCAGAATATCTACACTGGGGATTTGAATCCTAGACACAGCTAAAGATATAAAAATATAGGTCTTTATTCAAATGTCAGTCTATCATATCACTCCCATTCATTATTACATGTACAAACTGGTTTACAAGGGGTTAGGTTTCATGCCTCTTCAGTGTTTGTTGCAAAATACGATAACCGAATATACTATTTATGATTTATTACAGTAACAGACGTATTCCCAAACATAGACATCGTTTTGATTCTTTCGCAGATTCCACCAATAACCAACTTTACGATGGAAGGAAGAACATATCGTTATTCACCACCAGAACCTCTGTATCCATTTGGTTACGGTCTATCTTACACAACATTCCACTATTCTAATCTGACCTATTCTGATTCTATAGCAGCTGGGGTCAACTTTACTGGATCGGTTCAGGTCCAGAATACTGGAAGTATCGACGCCGACGAGGTTAGTAGTGATATAGCTACAAGTCTTTCAGATAAACAGCAATAATATATTACTACATCAGTCTCCAAAGTACTGACTTGTTTGCTTTTGAATGCTTCTAGTCTCAGAATACTGATATCGTCTTGATATAAGTTTATAACAGGGCTCTAGACGTAACGTGTGCATTTGAATTGAAGGACAGATATATCATCCCAATTTCTGTATTTTTTCAGGTAATACAAGTATATTTCTCGTGGAACAGCCCCTCAGTACCAGCCCCTAAAATACAACTAGGTAACTTTACCCGTAAGTTGATACCAGCAGGCTCGACTGTTACTGTCCAGTTTACTATACCATCTAGAATTATGGCTTTATGGGTAGATGATTCTACTGGCTGGAAAATTGAATACGGTAAGTGGCCGTAACGATGCATATTCGTCTTTATTGTCCGCAAAACAAAGGATATTGGAAGTCATTACCATTGAGTTACCGGCAGAATCAATCCGTTTGGTGGCGCTGTATTGAAATAGGACATATCAGTAAGGGAAATAATCTATCGAATACTCACTATGGCATTCCAAGATATTTATTTTAGTTTATAAATATAATTGTACTAATAAAAGTTATACCTCGCCATTCTATACCACTAGACCATTTATTATTTGTCATCGAAGACTTTCATCAAACCAAATAAAAGAGTTTTATATTTCTATCCTAAACATGTATAGTATACATTGACTCCAGCCGGATTATATCTTGTCTTGTCTCCAGCAAACTTTTACCATATCATAACGACTTTATCGCAAATCAAAATCAGAATGGTATAAAAATGACACAATTTATTATCCTTTACAGTTTAAGTTTGAATTTTCTTTTCCAATTCCAGGAACGTATAATTTCTATGTTGGTGGTCAACAACCAAACCAGAAGAAAAATGTCGATTCAAATGTACTGAAAGGATTCTTTACTATATTCGGAGATAAATATTTAGGACGAGCCAGATAAAAAATTAATAATTATCATTCATAACTAGTATGTAAATTGTTGAAACGTTGTGTCCAATAAAATGCAGGGTAGTATTCTATATTGAACTATGTTTTGCCGTTATAATATCCCAAACTATTTTGCCTAAATTTTGCATTGGTATTGAGACAAACTTAAGAGGTCAAACGGATGATGATCGCACCTCAGTCTCGGGAACGGGATTTCTTAAGCTACGCTTATCAGTAATAATATACACAGCTCATCGTCAAAATTTAAGCCTTCAAATCCATTTGTGTCTAGAATTATCATCGTTTGAAAGTTAAAAAGACGACTCGTCTTTTCTTGAGACAGTGAAATGTACTTAGAGGTTTATTTGATCAGATTATGCGATGTTTCGTGCAGCTCTGGTACCTCTAGAGAAAAGAAAAAAGACAGAAACTGAAACATCTATATTTTACAAGGTTAATAACTTTGGTTCACAGTTAAGGATCCTATCCTAGCTGGGCCTTGGCCGAACCTCTTGGCATTGATCTTTCCCGGATTATACGTACCCATTTACAGCTGGGAAACTACATCAATACCCGAAAATGGCGAATCATGACCTCTAATTTTGCTGTATAGTTAACTGTACTTTTATAAATAGTATGAACATGTATTTTGAAGACAAATATAGTAACCTTTCCTCAATTATCAACACGTTGTGTTAGCCGCGTGAATGCAGATTAATAGGAAGTAAAATTGGGGGCGGAGCCAATGGGGGGCAGAGGGGGTAGCCACCCCCCTCTCGCATGTTTTTAGGGCAAAAATCTCATAACTTGGTTAGAAATTCGGGCAATCTCAGATATTTCGCCCCCCCCCCCCCGCCCCCCTTAGACGTAAACCTGTCTCCGCCTCTAAATTCACCCAATCAGTAATGAGGAGGAAGAACAAAGCCCTTAAGGAAATATTTAGCACTTTACAATTCATAATACTAGAACGTAGTACTCCATCCTCTTTCACTAGTCAATAAAAGGGATTGTAAAGAGGTTTTCTAAATTGTTTATGTGTGTCGTGGACACTGATAGCATCACTTTGCACCATTCCAATTTCCGATCAGACGTCTGTGGTTCCTGCAATTCATCTAAAACTAAGTGTTTAATGACGTCACGTATCGCGAAGGGCTAAATAAAAAAAAAGTACCCCAAGTACTAACGACCCAAACCACAAAACTCAAAACAAGTATCAAGTATATCAATCGTATGTAAGTAATTGTTTGGTAATGAAAAGTGTTATCAGGTGTCTAGAAGAATAAACACACCCTACCTAGCGCCACACCTGCCATTGCTGCTCAATATACACGACAATAGTTACAGATAGAGATGAAAGTTCACTTTATCTTTCACATTCACTTACGTATCGTTATCAACTACTATAAATAACAATGACGTTTTGTACGACGATAAACACAAATGATTCGAAGTCACATGATTCAATCCGCCTATATTTATATTCATTACTGCACACGAAGTTTCGAATAAAAATTATTGTGGTTTATACTTCCTGGTGTAAAGGTTGTGGCTATTTGTAAATTGAATTGTGAAAAGAGTAGTAAAACATCGCACAACCTCCAATATGCTGAAGTTCTTGATATTGTGTACATTGATAAGTGTATATTGTTCCACAGTTTCATCGTACACTGATACTGGTAAGTAACCTCACTTTAACAATAACATTGAATTACTTCCTCAAGTGAAAAGTTGATCACCTGAGACCAAGGTTTTGCCACAATGTTGATTTCGGATTTGGTTTTGCGATTCGGATTGTTAGAACTTGGTTTATTATTGGTCCAAAACCACCTTACTGCTATGTCCTGGACTGACTAGTCGACTTTCTCGAAGACATTTGGGTCATATGATCTCTGACATTGGAGAAATTGAATATGGTAATATCGGGGCTAACCAATATATCATTTTACCTTTGTACAGTGTGTCCTGCTAAGCAATCAATACCTTCGATACGAGACCACAAAAGAATCCCCCCCCCCCTCTTCTCACCTCTCTACGACTCATCTAACGTTATTAATTATAACTGTTTATTAATTAGCACCTGATAAGGAATCACATGCATTAGTCTATACGATCAACGGTCACATGAACACTCTAGTGAATTTCTAATGAAATGGTTTCATTAAACATTAAATGAGATACGATTTGTTTTAACTGCGTATTTCGAATCTTTCCAAGAAATCGGCTACTTGATGTATAATTGACAAATATATATATACTTCTAGTTTCATATTACTTAATCATATATGTTTGAAATGAAACTAGAGCAGTGACTGTATGGTTAGTTCTCATTTAAAGTTGACCCTATACGTAAGTTCAGATAGGGGGAAATAATCGTTTAGAGTTTTGCTTTATCAGATGATAGACCTCAATTTCGGCATTTCCTATGATTTTTTGGAATCAACATGTCAGTAAAGTCGGATATGTAAAACAGCTCTATACATATATAAAACTCAGTTACAAGTTTAACCTTCTATCAAATAGTGAAACAAAGCAGTTTATGGTTCCATACAAACCAAATTGCGATCACCACAATACAGTACATCTTCTATTTAGTTGGTGATTACTTGACACATAACAGTTTTGTTTTGTTTTTCAGAATATGTGAACAGTAATTGTGGTAGTACAGTATACGTCACCAGTGCCACCAAATTGAAACTTGAAAACTATATGTTTTATGGACTAGATAGTCCATGTGAAATCACTTTAACAGCTTACGATTCTTTCCAAACCGGTTTGTCACTAGAAGGCCATTTTCTAGATTTTGATCTTCCATGTAATTATGGTTCAGTTACCCTTTACGATTCAACAAATCGACAATCTAGAACCAGTAAGCATTCTTGTCATTTTTATACCGTTTAGCTATGGGATTGACCAAACATTTCAGTCGACACCGTGGTTGTGAAAAGGCGTCTTGGTTTAACCTACGCTAACCTATGGTCACCAACAACCAAGGGTGTTAAGTTGATGAATTTGATATGAATCCTTTTAAAGGAAGTTCATGTTAATATACTTCGATTGTCTTGACCGCCGTGGTGCTTTTATCAGTCGCAGTGCACATGGACGTTCGCATTGTTTGAAAACTATAGGACACTCAGGGTCATTAGATAAACACTAGAAAAGAAAACTGTTGGAAGAGTAAGCTGAAATTAATACATAATTGAAAGTTATCTTTTCGAATCGAATATTCTGATGACTGCAAGATCGATAACAACGGAGTAATGGGTAAATGTTAATGGCATGACTGATCATTTAGGCCAAATTTCACCTTATTGATTATGGCTGTTGCTACATGTCTAGACAGATAATGCTTATCTTATGACTTGTTTGATTTCAGCGGGCCAATCCCTTTACTAGCAGTCCTTTTTTGGTCAATTGGAATGGAACTGTATGTTTTGTTTCCCTTCGGAAAAGTGGCAATTATTATATTATTTTTCAGTATTAGCTGATCAACTATGTGGATACAAACCATCTACATTCTATAAAGGAAGTGGTGAAAGTATTGTCATAGAGATCAATAAGAATGAAGGATATTCTCAATACACTGCCTCGTTTAATTTCTTATTAACAGAGAGCCATGATGGTAAAGTTGAACATTTTGTATATACCATTATACTAAACTGTGACAATCTGGAACATATTTTGGGCATTTATGGTCCATGTCTTAGCTAAAATAAAATTTGGTTCAAATTTTATGTGATTTGTTGATGAGCAGTTAATTATATTTTGCCTTGGACTTAACCAAAATCCATCAGTACTGGCTTTTGAGAATAATGATCTTTTTATTTGGTAAGATCTGAGACGGCTGTGATTTTTGTGATATTTGTTTTGTTATTGTTTGTTTAAGTTAGCTAAACTACAACTAAGAATCAACACTGCCAAACGGTATCAAACATTTTGTTTTATATTTTTTCTAATAGGATTTTGTGATGATACCGAGTTCCAGTGTGATAATTTCGAGTGTATTAATAACCTATTAACATGTGATGGTAATAATAACTGTGGTGACAACTCAGATGAAGGGTCTGTATGTTTCTGGACAATTGGAACTATTGCTGGAATTGGTATTGGTGGTGGTGTTCTGTTTATGATAGTGGTTATTATAATTGCTGTATCTTGTAGACGAAAACAAAGAGTGGTCTATGTAAGTCTCTTCTTGTGTTGTCCGGGATAGAACAAACTGTGATACTCTCCCTTGGGAATCTGTTCTCAAATTATTAAACTAAATGGGAAAAAAGGGAAGTGTCGTCGACCTGGTTAAATTGCCTGAAAAAAAATATTTACAGGAAAGAACAAAATGAAACGCGTTTTTTTTTTATTCAGCTTCATGAAAAAATTTACCAAATATATATAAACCACACACAAACGCTTGAATTCTTTTAGATGTGTAGTTATATACAATAATTCTGTAAATTTCCAATGCCTCGAGACGCCGATATTCCGTTTTCCTTTCTCTGAACCGGTTTTATTATTTTTATATTCTTCTTGCAGCAAAATCAATATGGCAGTATGCCATATACCAATGGTCCTCAAGTTATTGCTCAACCATACATGGTGATGCCACAGCCTCAGTATGGTGCAGCACCATTCCCTGGTTACCAACAACAAACACCTGCTCCACCTGCTCCACCTGCTTATAAACAAGAACAACCTAAAACCACTGTTAAAAGCTAGACCGATAGACTTTTATTTTGTTAATTGTAAATAGGCTTTATAAACCTTGTAGGTGAATTGGGGGACACTTGTATCATATGCGCCATTCCAATTTACATTAAAACTAAGCGTTTATGAATATTGCTATGTAATAATATTTAAGAGCTTTGCTATAGTTGCGTCATATAACACTTTGTGTGAACATGAACCACAGAATACTAAAAATGGAATGGCGCATATCGAAATATTAGTGTCCCGAAAACACATAAAACGGTTAGAAAGCCTCTATACAATATACAAACAAATTTTCAGGGGTTTGTTGTCAGACAGCTTCTTCTTGTTTTTAACAATAGAAAAGGAACAGATTATTAATAACCATTACTACATGTAAGCTTAATTCACGTTTTGAATTAACTTTTGCTATTAAATCTATACACATTCTTAAAGGTAACATAATTCAAATGTGTTTTCTTGTCACGATGCCGTCAAATGTATCAAGGAGAAAATTTATGCCAGAATTTGACTGTCACAAAACAATATTTGGTTTAAATGTCATTTACGATAGTAAAGTTTTAATAAGTTCATTGTTTTTATATGAATTATATGAATCACAGACGCTGGACAGAAAAAGGATGTATATATTATTTATATTTCAAGTGCCACAATTTATTTACGACAGAAAACCTCCTACGAACCCTTGTAGTGACTGTGCATATATTGTGTACAAGTACTGTGTTTGTTTGTTATTTTATTGTTAATAAATCGTTACATTATTAGTGGATGTTTGTATTTATAGTCTTACTATAATAGTGGCTCTATCATATCTGGTATTCACAAGTTAATAAGTGTGTCTTAAGACGAGTCTTCAATATGTCCACTGAATTTGCATCTTTTAACATTTTTTGGTAGAGTATTCCACACACAGCACGACAAAGCACGATCACCACAGTAGGTTCGCAAAGTTTTAGGCCCAATAAGGTCTTTTCTAGATGCTGAACGAGTACAAAGACCTCCATGTTTTGTTTTTATCAAATCGCTTAGGTAAGCTGAATGGGGCCCTGTATACACTCTTAATTGAGTGAATTAGCTAGAACCTTTGGGCGTAAGACCTACTTTGAAGGCTACAAAAACAATGATAGCAACTTGAATCGTATCTGACAACTCTTAAATTATACAACTGTCAACTGGAAACAAGGTGGTTATGCTGTGGATCAAAGGACGTCCAATATTGTGCTCTACAAAAAGGCTGAGAATAGACTTCTATATCTATAGAAGTTGTATATCTAATGCCAAAATTCTCAAAAGTGCCCACAAAACACTTACTTAACAGGTCATTTGATTGGTTGAGTTATTCCTTTCCTGTGAACTTACTTCAATTAGACACACTGTTAGATTGGGATGTAACAAATCTACAACGACTGTTGTACAAAACCCAATAAAAGAAAAATACAATAAAATTATAAGCACGATGCCAAAATTTAACCATTACGGTTTTTGCCAGCACAAAAAGAAATATCTATAAAATTAACGAAAACAAAACCAATTCAAGGGAAACTTGAACATCTTATATTTTTGTTATGAAATTCTGGGGTAAACAATCATTCATAGACTCTAGCCTTCTGATAATATGTTTACGCAGTATGTATTTTGGTTTATAATAGTATTTTGTATTTATAATGAAATGTCTGTGATAAAGTTTGGGGTATTGTCATGTGACATTTTCTGATAAAATTCCACTATCGCTAAGTTATCATTGAGTCAATATAGTATAGATTATCATTGGATGTTTCAAACATTGAATCTGGGTCAGACGCCATCTTGAAATTTGATATTCTGTATATTGTTTGTTTTTTTGGAACTGTTTGAATTTTGAGGTTGTTTGTTTGTTTATTTCTGTGAACGAACTCCGATGCTGCCATGTTGACAAGAGTTGTCTTTCCCATGTTACTGTATTTGGTCATGGTATCAGCCTACACAACTAAAGTCAGTAAGTAATTACAAACTATACAACGGGTTGTCAAAATTGCTTTATGAACATGATTGCATACCTATTTTGTGGAATGTGAGAAAGCGTCTTAGTGCTTATAACACAATTATACAGTGGGATGGCAGTGAAAAGGGCGAGAGGGATAAAAAACTGGAAGTTAAATTGTAATCAGAATGCCGTCTTAATTTCAAAGAATAATCAGCAAACAGTTTAAAACGCACTGTGCCACTTTAATTTATAGTAGAAAATCAATGATATCATCAACAGCCGTGATAACAACTCCATCTTCAAAAATATTTCTTCAGCCCACACCTTTCCATCCTCGGGACGTTGCTCATCTGAAAGAATATGATAACATCAGCCTACATAACCCTAACACCAACTCATTCCTATCTTAAAAATGTTATCCACGGCCATTCCCTTCTCTGATCTTTTTGTTGCTGGCGTTGTCCCCATTATGACTAGCTTATATGTATTGTTACTAATTTTAGATTATGTAAAACGAAAGTGTGGTAGTACCATCATGGTTTCTACAGCTGAAAGGATAGTTTTAGAGTATGATGACGATACCGCGGAAGAGGATTGTGAGATCAAACTTCAAGCCTATGATCCTTACAACAACTATGATAATATAAACCTGCATCTCCGCTTCCTGGAGTTGGACCTTCCATGTGCTCAAGCTGCGGTAATCATAGATAAATTTGATACCACCAACGAGATTTATGGCTTGAATAGAAGATTTCAGCATTCCGGAAGTGAGTATTTGTTTCTGTTGACAATCACACATAGTTCACCCTTTTAAAGAGACATGTGCTCCATTTTTTGCACCAATCATACTGAGAAACGGGATTTTTTTGCCAAGCCAATCAGTAATAGTGCTCGCAGCTCACCGTCGAAATTTGTCCCCTTATTACACACGTACATTGAAATTCTTAGGTTATATCCACCTTTGCTTCATTTGGTAGCCATTATAACTTGTGCTTAACCTTCAACGGTACTACAATCTACTAAAACAACTTGGCATTTGACAAGAAAATTTTAAATGTATAGTTAACAACCGAAATTGATCAAATAGATCACAAATGTAACATAAGCGTTTTGTTTGTTTATCATTTTCCAGTCGGTGAGTCAGTATGTGGGGATGAGGTTCCAGATAAACTCTACGAATCAAATTTAAAGAAAATGTCCATCAACTTTCACAAGAGAATACCTCATAGTCCTATATATGATTCCTATTTTGATATTCTAGTTACCAAAGTCAATAATGGTAAGCGGTTTCTTTGTAGCTAAAGTCATCGTTTCCAAATTCGTTTCCCAGTATCAACAAAGTGTGAATATTACTTGAACCTTTGGGATATTCTTTACCTTTTCTCTTGTTAACTTCTGAATTTCCAATAACAAACAGTGCTGTTTTCTACTTTCACCTTGGTCGAATGCTCAAGGAGACTGTGAAATTACAGGAGTCACGGGTATCAAGCAGGAAATTGGAATTGTGTGATAATTATGAATAATATACCACATAAATTTAAGATATTTGTCGCGATGACGAACCTTATCACAGAATGGCATCAACTGTTGCAGAAATATGACAATTTCCTGCCCCGTCAGGAACAACCACCCTTATAGTGAAGCTGGAACTGGAACTTTTGTTAACAATTTCTTCCAGGTCTGTGTGACCAGAATAAAGAGTTTGAATGTGACAGTGGACGATGTGTAGATGAATCTCTGGTTTGTGATGATTATTATAACTGCGATGATGAGTCTGATGAAGATGAAGATTGTTTCTGGACAGTTGGAGCTATAATTGGTGTCGCTATTGGGTTAATCGTAGTTATCGCCCTTGCTGTGATTGGAGTGGTTCTTATATGCAGAAAAAGAAAGTATGGTCGATTTTTTCGAGTAAGTTCACTTTAAATTATGAAATGGGAGTTATTCAACTACATTGTGCTATTGAGACGGATTCCCTCGACTTGAAATAATAAATCGCAAAATTCAACTTTTTCTAGAAATGTCATTGAAACTTTATATCACATGCAAAATTGGCCATGAAAACTAGGAAAGGACCGGATAAAACTAACCGCCTGAACAGAAATTCCTTCATCGTCTAAAACTGAAGAATGTAATTACCTGCACGAAATCTAGACAGGAAATATGTATGCTAAAAACTGAAAAGGGAAGGATGCTGAGTGTCCAAGGGTACCACGTACATTCGTATATAATATCTACTGCAGAGTGTAGAAGCCTTTGTTGCCTAAGCTTCTTGGTTAACAGTAAGAACATATTGAAATGGACCTACTTCTCAATGACAAAGGCTTTTGACACTTAAAAATAAGGGAGATTGTCATTTAAATAATGCCTTTATTTACCATTAAATATTTTTTCAGAGAAAGCAGGCACCGCCTATTGCTAAGGTCCGTTCGAACGATCAACCCTACTTCAGCGAGTCTACATCATCACTTGCTAAACAACTGACACCTATACCATACGCTCCTAGTCTGAATCCTAGTATTACACCCAACCTCTCTCCAGCATCACAGAAACGAGCTATGGGATCTACTTTTAAGCAATTCAACAACGGACAACAGAGGGATTTTGGTTTAACAAAGAAAGCAGACGAAAAATATCCTAAGTATAAGCGAAACAGTCGTTCCGATGAACATGAACTGAAAACTGTTTCTGCGCATGTCGAGGAAAGTGATTCTAGACGAAGCAGTGACAGTACGCATATATCACTAAATGGTTACGTGGACTCGAAAAGAAGTAGTAGTGAACCGCGTCGAGGATCACGTGAACAGCGTCGCCAAGGACCAAGAAAGATTAGTGACTATCGAAACGGAAGTAGTTCTCGAATGAGTAGCTCGTCCAATCAGAGTGCCAATAAGAGTCCCAGTACATGTACTGATGTCTGAGAAGACTTCCGGTTGTGACCCATCATAATATCTAATGATCATTTCATGGACAAGATCCATGAAGAGTGTAGCAAGTAACTGTTGTTTATAATTTCATATTATGACCTGTAAGAATTTCAGATTCCGAATATAGTACGCCTTATTATCAAACTTGTTAAAAATAGAATTTTGTTAACAATCATCTATCTAATCGTATATTGTTTATTGATTGAATTATTGAGGGCAATTCCATATGAAGATATTTTCAGCTAGTTTCAAATTTAAATTCTCTCATCAAGGCAGCTCAGAGTTCGAGTAGACTGTTGCCTAATACTATTTATTAATGGTAATGATTTGTGTTTGTTTAGACCAGAGTTGATATTCGTAAATCATTACATAGTGTCAGCACATGCCATATGGAAGCTTAAACATTCCATCTTATAAAAGAAATGAAAACAGACAGCATCAGTTTCAATTCTCATTAACCAGTCCAACTGGATCTAATGATGTATATAATGTTGTTCGATTGAAATTTTTATTATGCATTTGTCATTTATTATCAGGCTTTGCTCAACATAAACCTTATCGATGTATTACATAGTTTTATTACATAGGTGTTATTTAATCACATGCAGACAAGTGGAAGATATGGCATGTCTAAAATTTTAAACTGTTACGCTTACGTTTATTGAATTGTGCACATAGGTACTATGCGTTTGATTCACTCATAGAGCGAGCAATAGTGCTCTAAAATCATGCAACAAATGCTTGTTATCTCCCTTGACACAATTGAATTGTACAAAACGATGTACGGAATTAAATATGAATTGATGACGTGATACAGATAAAAAATATACCATATTTTGAATAAAAGAGTGATAATAACTTAAGCAAATGTTGCTGTTGAGCTTGATGTATGTGGGAAGGTGATGTTTCAGTTTTTTTTCTAACCAACACAAAAATACCAGAAAAGCGTTTACCATTACATTTTTAAAAGATATCACAGTATTGCTTTATCGCATTGCCATTTTTTTGCTATAAGTTCAATGGATATTGTAGGTTCAACCAAAATCTTCACCCAGCATCCCAAACTTTGACAGTATTGCCAATATCAGAGCCTTGAGGAAACATATAGACGAAAACTAGACCAGACTTGAATGCAGTCTCAGACATTATATTCTACGAAATAAATGGAAAATACAATTACACAATTAGTCTCGTATTGTTATCATAAATTACATCTGCAGACAATGTCTAATATGAAATAATGAAACATAATTTTATAAGGTGTCACTCCTGACTTTTACACAACGTTTCAACAATTTTCGTTATTTCAAATGATCTCTTTCCCTAGATGACGCTAAAACTATCATAGTTTATTGTAAAACAACCAATTAGCTGTAATAATAGTCATATTTCTTATCGTACTGTTTGATAAAATTCGGTCGGAAACTGATATCCATCAACTTGTTTCTATTTATAACTAGGAAGTAAATATCACTAGGTCACGTGATAGTCTTGGAATCTTGGAGTCGTCTGTGTTGTATTAAATGATATAGTTAGTTGGTTCCACTTGATACCATAGGATAATGCTAAACCAAAGAATAATCTTTCACTATCATGCCCATCTTTTAAACAATCATATTAAAGAAGTCCATATCTCTTAACATATGGTTAGATCGAGAAGGTATGTCAATCTGACAATCTACAGGCCAGGTACACGAAATTAAAACTGGTCAGCCACTAAAAGCAATTTTAAATTCAGCTTCATAAACCAAAATATCGATGGTTAAACAGAGCCAATGTCAAAAATCACACTGAGCTGATACCAGAGAAAAAAGAGAAAAGTTCGTGCTCACTGTTCCATAGCTCTTTTGACTGGACTGTGAGTTCTGTAAACTAGGAATTAATAAAAATTGTGTTTTATTGAACTGGATATATATGTCGGTTAAAATCGTTGTTTTTATATCCTTTAATTGGACTATTAAATAGTAGAATAATCGAAGGTGAAAGTAAACAGAACACATCACTAATCAGTTTCATTTCTCTAATCAGAGATGATTTAAAATATCATTAACCTCCAGTATTTACAGGTCAACTCATCTTCTATTTACCCTGATAGGAAACATATTCTCAATAATTTTAACATTTCGTAGTAATATGATTTAATGACAATCTGTACATTTCATGTGTGTCAGCCATGATCTGAAAATTCTGTAAGATATGACTTTGTCTCTGAAATATTGAACCAATAGCATACATTTTCCAAGAAAAGTTTGACGACCACTTGTGTCAAATTCTGAGAAATTAGTTGTCAAGTATTGTCTTGTTTTGTAAACCAAAAGGGCCGTGAATGGTTAGCTTGAACTGTGATAATTTCTGTCGTCATTTGGTGGATATTCGCCTCTTCCAGATCACGGATGGTGAATGCAGTAAGATATTCCCCTAAACAAGGGGTATCTCCTTCTCGTCCAGATCATTGATGGTGGATATAGTAACATCAAAACTGGAAATGTAACATTCAGCTCTGCATTTATATCAGATTGGCGTTATAATATCAATTTGACCACAAAATTCTTCAAACCAACCAATATCATTAAACACACTTGAATCTGACAGAAACATCACCAAGTCTCAGCACGACCTCAATCGTATTCAACCAATGGAAAAAGATAAAATGGACAATCAGAAGCCTGTCTGTTTTTAATAGAATCTTACAGAAAGGAATGTTTTTATCATAGCCGCGTTATCTACTAAATCACTCTATAAACCTTAACTCTTTCAATATCTACAACAGGTGCGCGGGGATTCCCCTTACCATTACCATAACAATGTTTTTACATCTGATATATTGAGAGGTGTTTCCTTTAGCCACGAATCAGTTCAATGTCCATAAAAGAGAGTGGAAGGTAGGAATCTGCAATACCCCGTAATGATTGGACTAACCCAAACTCGAGTAGTCTATGTTTTTACTCTGTTTCTTACTGGTTAGATATAAACTTAAGTTATTCCACTGTAACACATTCATAAAACATTCTGACTGCACACGCTTAACTCCCTTGAATTTCAACTTTTCAAATTCAAATTTTAAACTTACACCATGCCTGAAGAACGCCCCGAAGCCGAGGAAGAATATATTGCCGAACCTTTAATTAAGGATATGTTCCGAGTGCTGGACAAAAACAGATGTGGATTTCTTACTTGTGAAGAATTTAAAAATTTAATCGGCAATATGTCCGAAGTGTCCGTATCCAAAGAGGAAATGGAAGAGGTTATTGAGGACGTTGATAAAAACCGAGACGGAAAAGTGACCTATGATGGTAAATATATTTTTTATTTCTTCTTGTGATTTTGACTTTCTTATGTCCTTCATCTAGATTTTTTAATGATCCTGGTTACAGTATGACTTCTAAATATTTATTTTCTAAAGTTTTGGCTTCATTCTAGTCCTTCAAGTTACAGGATGTCGATTGTACTGCGACATCAAAATAGTTTATTGCTTAGGACGTTCGTGATCTTTTTCTTTTATCAAATATGCTTCTATCATAGATTTCCATAGTTACGTTTTGACTTAAGAATAGAAATATGGTCACACTGAAATATCTAATTAGTTTTTCATAGGTACGTTTGATTTAAAACTTCTATGGTTACAGTGTAGAGTTCAATTAAACCGACGTTGCATCGCAATCAGCAAATAAGCGATTCATTATGACCCTTTTACGATCAAGTATTTGCTTTGATTAGCCAAAATGAAAATTTATCACGACGATCTTCAAATCAAATCGAATTTTATATTTGAAGGTTTACTATTAGAACATTTTAATTGCTACCGAATTTAAGAAGTACTAATCAAAATTTAATTTGATTAGCCAAAACGAAAATTTGGTGTGATTAGTTGCTCGTCAAATTTTTAAATCTAAATTTAGCCCTGTTTTAGTGTTACACCAAATGCTCTTGTCCATGGTAGATTAGATACCCTTTCATTAACTCCCTGAAACAATCGCTTTGCATTTCTGAATTATTTGTTTATCTTGTAAATCTCTCCAGAAGTAGGTAATTTTCTATCAAATTGATGTATTCCAATGCTGAAATCCTCTACAAGTCTCTACTTGTCAGGCCAGTGCTTCTATAAGAGAGTTGTTCATGATTACATTTAGAATTTGACATATTGTCATTCTTTAAGTTAATGTTTGATTTCGAAACACGTTTTCATATTTCATGGTTTCCGTAAATATAGTGTCTATTGGTCGTGCAGTGAAGGGGTCTCTAAATCACGACAATGCCACTCACAATTGATTGAGCTCTTCTCTATACTTACGATAAAATGATTCAAATTCAGACTTCGATCACCCACGGATAATATACAGTGTAATATTATTGTAATAGGAAATTAGAAGAGTCTGTTATGGTAACATGGAATAAGTCATATACTGTTGAGATCAAATTGTCAAAAACGATGTGCAGGATACGACCTGCGTTGTAAATTGTTGTACAGGTTTGGCTGAAGAAGACCTAACATGATAAATTGCTGTCACTTTTGATTACATTTACATTTGCAAAATAGCTTTCAGTCAAAAACTGTATAAGATACAGTATTGCAGAAAATAATACAAGCACCTCTGTTGATCAAAGCCTTCTTTAATTTTCTCATTGATGGAACAGTCTGTCCCTTCGGCAAAACTCGGTAGTTTCCGTTAAGCTGAAACTGTCTCGGTAATTGATGGTAGATTTCGATGCAACTGTTTGGGCTCGGAACTATCATTTTGAAATTAATATTTGACCGGATAGTCCCTAGTAATATATAGTCCCTAGTAATATAGTCCCTAGTAATATATAGTCCCTAGTAATATATACCTAGTAATATATATAGTCCCTAGTAATATATAGTCCCTAGTAATATCTAGTCCCTAGTGATACAGTCTATTGGAGATAGTTCTGACAGCTACTTATACATTTAATGCTATATTTAAACTATCTTTTTACCAATGATACATTAAACTATCAGAATCACCTGACAATCTTGACAAAGTTCCGACAATGGCTGCCATCCATTACCGTGATATGCTACCGTGAGTGCTGGCGGAATTTTCACGGTAGACCGTTTACTATATACCATGCAATTAATAATTCTACTTGGCACATTAATTCTATAAAGTAGGTCTAAAAAACTTTAGTTGTAAAATTCTGCTTTGAAATGGTGAGTTAAAAGGCAATTGAAGTGAAGTAGTATCAGTATTCCTGAGATAATATGGTATCATGTGAAGAACGTATAGTTTAAAAGAGAAAAATATACTATTGATAAAATGTAATGTTTCAAGTTTTAAGCAGAAACAGACAAACAGGAAGGAGGTGACGCTAATATAATGAAACAAAGCGACAGAAAGCCTAATATATAACACTTTTAATTTTCAACATATTAGTATCTGTCGTATCTGTAGTATGAAAAATTAATCAGACTTGCAAGAAAATTTGAGCTCATGGTTTTTGAGAAACATCGGGTAAGAATCTATACGGTGGCATTGACATCTATATTATGGCATAAGGTTTTAACATGAAGAAAAGCCAGTGATAAATAATGTAACTCTAGAGAAAAACTACGTATATTAAACACTATAGATGAATATAGAGTAGACTGTAGAAGAGAATCTGTAGGGGTCATTCAATAACAGACTGTATGTCAATCTCATCTATCTTATCCTCTACACACCTCACTCAACAGGTGCTCGTTTCATACCACATCAACTGTTTTCTTCTGGAGTTTTTAAAATAATTTTAGCGTTCGCTGTACATGATGAGCAAATTATCAAAACTGATTATATTCATAATTCTATAAACCAATCAGATTGCTGTATTTCCTAAAAAATCTAGATTTAACGATATTAAGATTTTGAGAATATGAAAAAAGGAAAGAAAAGTGCATTAGGTATTTTCGGTTGTGCACATTATTCAGATCCTGAAAAGCAATGTAGTTTAAGGCCCTGCTTTCTACAACGAACATGTCTTTCCAAAAGTGGGTTTTATTTCCTAGAGTGCTAGCGAAGTGGAATTGCTATGTACCTTATTTTGTTCTTGGAATGAAAAATCATATATGCTTCGTTTTCTTTTCCATCTATCAGGGGATCCAAGTCCATACTATCTTCTGTGGTGTGTTTAGGAATTGAAAAATACGAACAGTCAGATCAAAAATGTCTTTCGTATCCATTAATTCCAAAACAACGTATTGCATTTACCCTTAAAGGGAGAGACGTGCCAGATATTTGACCAATCATACCTTCTTGACCATTTCAGAAACGGGAATTAATTTTTGTGTTAAAATTTGAGCCTCCAAGTCCAATTGTCCAGTTTGAATGTTAAAGTCGAGTCGTCTTTTCTTGAGACACTGAAAAGACAACTATAAATAGGATAAGTAATTCTTAGTTTGAGATATTTACATTTCTAGTACTTCTGAAGACTATTTATAAATATCATAGACTTAAATCAAGTCGCCAAAAAGGCGCATCTGTCCCTTTAAAATATTCATGTTGTTTCACCTTGAAGTATGCATATAACTAAGTCGATAGGTTTATCATGATCCACAGTATAGAAGTAATTTGTGCAATGTCTATGGTAATGATGTTTTGTTTGTGTCTGGTCTACTAGTAACAGCTGTTCGTTAAGATTCTTTTATAATTATAGAGAGAACAATGCTGAATTCATACCGTTTTTCAATGATTCGTTCGTACATTTCGCTAGTTACATTGTGAGGATATTCGCTCTCGTTTTTTGTTAGATATGATATGATACCACCCATATCAGGATTGAAATCTGCTTACAATTTTGTGGAAATCGCTGAGGCATCCAACATCAGACTGGGGAAAAGAGATCAAATCTGGGGCTTTTGTATGTTTTGTTCATTCTTACTAAGATTAACGGCAGCACTTCCTCTGCTCATCGCATTCAAGTTGAAAGTTTATCAATGCTTAATTAGATTAAATAAGAATACAGATAGATCAATGGTCAGGAAGCAGAGGGAATGTCTCAAAAACTCAACCAAGCTGCATACTTCAACTTTTGTCTCATACATTGTTATGGTAGCTATAAACAGCTGACCTCGGCTACCCTTAACACTCCCTCCCAAAATTCTTTGCATATTTCTGAATAAAAAATATTAAGAATGATAGTGATCTGTTCCAGAGAAGAGCGAGTTTAAAACACAGTATATCTGATGTTTGGTTTAACAATGCCGTCATTATACAATAGTTTACCATTTCCTAACAGATGCTTCTTGAAATAATGAGGCTTGGTTTTTGTTTTTTTTCCACAAGTTCAACATCATTACAAGGAGAAACACGACTGAAACGATCTAGCTAATCTATTGTTTCATTCCTTCAGCTGACAAATAGAAAAATTGACACTCAAACGTTAAAAGTTAAAATAATTTGGTCATAAACTTATAAATGCAAACACATCTGTGCAGAATGGCGTAATGTAATTCCTAAAATTGAGAACATTTACTATCATCGATCATAAGGCATTTTTCTTCTTTATGTATTCTTCATTAATACCTTTTTAGCTATCGAAAACAATATTTATTTCCAATAAAAATGAATATAATCCGATAAAATAGCATTTATACACTCCAAATACATACTACTAAGTACACTTGATTTTTTTGATTAACGGCCAGGGTCTTATTCTCAAAAAATTAACGCAAGATGGTTTAGTGTTCCGGTCATCTGATTGGTCAATCAATAAAATCGATTTTAGTTTAGTTTATTATCCTATCAAATTACCGTATTTCTTCAAATCTCGATTTTTTCTTCGCTAATTTGTCGAAAATAAAGCTTCACATTACTAGCATTATGCTTTTAATAATTTGGATTACACTGAAAATTCTTTACATTTCTATGCGAATTATATTAAAGTAATCAGCTGGTGGAATCTGTTTGGTTGAGATATTGGAATGTGGTAAACCTATCAGGTAATTATAAAGAATTTACCATGACTTCACTTCAACAGATGGTAGAGTATAATACTAACCATGATCAGGTTATTACCTATCACTCATCAAGGTTGATACCAAGACTAATGATTTTCGTTTTAATCAGGTGGTGCTTCAGGTGATGTTTGGAGAAAATGAAGGGCATTTTTGATAATCAAATGATATTTGGCTTTTTTTATTTTTCACAATGCCCTAAATACCATTAAGTGATATCGGACTGCTCTTTGAAGAGTTACTTGTCCATACCCCCGAGCCAGCCCACACCCTTCTCCTCATATTGAGCTGCCCCGGAATTTCTAGATATCTAGATATGCCTTTATAATTATTTCACGGTATTTA